ACAAAGAGGATCTCTAGGCATGTCTTTATGGATATAAACTTTGAACATGTCTCTATCATTGATAAAAAAATCAGCTCATTTGCCCAAGCCATAAGGGAGATATTCAAATTTCTTTTTCGCCCGGACTTTTGGAACACCCTGTATATATATATAATAAAAATATTTATTTCTTAATTTATAGGAAATCATTCTTGGTAAGAATATATTATTGTCTACGTTATGTATTTAAAAGAATTTTTCGTTTTATTTAATAATTATTCTAGGGGGTATGTATTCGTGTTGTTTTTTTTTCTTGTATCACCAATCGTTATTCTGTTTAGATATAATCCAAGATATTATTTTGCTATTGAAACAAGTTATGGAACAACAGCTGATTTAAAAGAAATGATTGATGAAATGCATAAAAATAGTATTCGTGTTATTTTAGATGGTGTAAGTATTCATATTTACAGTTGTTTCTCTAAAATTATTCAATCAGGTTTGTTTTCAATGTCGTAAACGCTAAAAAGAATTCAAATAGTGATTTGCGTTTAGAATTATATTTTCAATAAGAATGTTCGAAAATAAAAATTATTTTTATGGCGTCCTTATCGTTCATATATCTTCATTAAAGAACATCAGCGAGATCGGGAAAACACGAATTTGGATTTTTCAGAGGCTCTATTCTTAGAAAATTAGTTATCATTTTTATCTTCATAGGGAAATAAAATGTTTTACCTGAAATTATTTATGGGATTCATCTCAATGTTTGCAGCAGGCAGAAAAAACCTGAAACTAAATCTGATTGAATAATTTTGATGGGACAAAAGTAGAATTGAAATGAAGATAAATTGATCAAGCTAAATTCTGAATAAAAAGAAGATTCCCTTTTAATTCATAAAGTATTGTTTAAATCAATACACTTTAGTAGTTGAATATTTTTTGGTGGATTGAAAAATCAGCCTGTAGAGAAGAATTAAAACAACTTACTTTAGATAACACAATTGTTCATGTAAAATAAGTAGAAGTTTTTTTTTTAGGTATACAATCATTGTGATTGTTCATCACCATTAACACAAATAGATCATGATTATTGGTATCATCACAATCCAAAAGATTCAATCAGTAAGAAAAATAACTAATTAATTTATTTGTAGATAATAATAGAAAGAAAAAAAATGAGAAAATAGAAATTAATCACTCTGGTTTTTTTTAATGTTATCTTGGAAATGTAATCTGTTTCATACATCATTAGTTCATTCTAAATTAACTAAAAATTTTGAGATTTATTCAAATTCTCAAATTTAATTTCGATATATTTAAAGAATTTCTTCGTAAGAATATATAGTATTCTTTTTTTTTTTATTCTAGTGTCATGGGGACCTGAATGGAATTATAGTATGTGATTTAGTCTATATAAATGATTTTCTTTTCTTACTTAAATACCTTTTTTTTTTTTATTTATAAGATTTTTATGATTCAAAATATAATATTTGGCCAGCTCGTAAATTTATTGGTGATTCAATTCGTTATATGGTTGAAGAATTTCATATAGATGGTATTCGTTTTGATGCAGCACGACAAATTCAAAATTTTGATTTTTTACATTGGGTTGTTAAAGAAGCAAAAAAAGCAGCTGGTGTTAAACCATTCTATTGTGTTGCAGAATTTTTACCTGATGAACCTTGTATAACAAATATTGATGGTCCTATGGATGGATGTAATATTATAGAAAATTTCTTTTTTTTAAATAATTCTTTTTTTTTATATTAGGTTGGCATGATAGTTTCTATTGGACAATACGTGATTTATTACTTTACGATAATATTGATATTGGTCGATTAAAATCTGTTATTGATTGTCGACAACAAGGATATTTAGGTGTTACCAATGTAGTAAATTATATTGGAAATCATGATCATGATCGAATGTTGGTTGAATTAGGTAATATGATATTCTTATTATTATAGTTATTTTGTTTTGTTAAGTTTTCGAATAGAGTAGACTTTGTATTGAGAATTCTAGTAAAAGAAATAGATAGAATAAAACAATTTTCATGTGATGAACAATAGTTTTGTTTTTCAATTTGAGTTTAAACTTTATAATATAGGTAAAGAACGATCTATATTTGGTGAAGAAGCATTTAAACGTATTCGTCTTGGTGTTGTTCTTGAAATGACAAGTATTGGTATTCCAATGATATGGATGGGAGAAGAAATGGGAGAGTAAGTGTTTTTTTTTTTGGTTACTCTATATAAAAATTAAAAGATTCTAATGTGAATTTTTTTTTCTTTCGTTAAACTAGATATAAAGAAAAAACACCTGATGTTGCTAAAATTGATTGGTCATTAATTGCTGATCGTGAAGATAATTCAAATAATATTAATAAAAATCTTCTTGGATTATATCGTGGTTTAGTACGTTTACGTAAAGAAAATAAAGCATTTTTTCAAACAAATCTTGATTTTATTCATGAAGATCATGATGCAAAAGTATTAGTTTATCAACGATGGTATTTTTTAAAAAGAAAAATATTTCTTTTTATTCATATGATAAGAAAATTTAATTTGTTTATGTAGGTCTAATTCAGGTGAACGTGTTGTTGTTATTGTGAATTTATCTGGTCATTTTCTTGGTAAAGATTCAATAGATTTTATTTGTTTATTCTATAAGAAATAATTTCGTTTTTTGCTTTTTTTTTTTACAAATAGCTCACTATCGTGTGCCAAATATGCCTGTTAATGGTTGGTGGCATGAATGGACATTTAATTATGATTGTAAAGTTGATTATAATGAAGTACATCTTGATTTAGCTGAACGTGAAGCAAAAATTCTTGTTTGGCTTGGTGAAGATTGGCAACCACCAGCACCTCAACCAGAACCACCAACAGAACCAGCTCCAAATAATGATACAAACATGACAAAAGCAAATCGTGAAGAAAATCAACAATACTGATATTTAATAACGTGCAGTTATTATCTCTAATCTCTTTAATATGATTTTTTTCTTTCCATTAATGATCTATTCTTATATTTAAAATTAAATATTCTAAAGAATTAAGAGAAATAAAAGATGTATCTGTTGATAACGAAGTAATTAAGATACGTTTTATGCATCGTTTGTCGTTCTGGATTTTCGTTTCTACTCTTAGTTTGTTTGATATTTCCCTATTCTTATTCGTGCATAGTCAACCTTTTATCCTGTACATTTACTTTTTTTTTTAATTAAATTAAACAAGATTACAATATAGCTTCTTAGTTTTGAATTTCTCACTATTAGTTATTCTTTCAACACAACAAGAACAAAGCTATTCAAGGCAATCATGACATAATCCCAGGCTATTGGCGTTTGCGTCAACGACTCACAAGTTTTGTTTTTGATAATATGATCCATGGCTTGTTTTATCTAATAAAAATCATTGTACATATCAACCTTGATTAAGTATTTCGATGTACTAAGTCATTCATATACTTTATTTGCCTGATCTTTTTATGCTATTGAAGGAATGAAAAGCGAAAGAATATGTTTTGCTCATTAATCTGTTGTTATCATTGCATGCATGGATATACAGTATGTTATATACATTGATAACAAAGGAATGTGTCGACTCACAGTTGCATAAAAAAACTGACTTAGAGATAGCAGATTGTTTTCTTGTCTTTTTCTTATGAACAGTAAAATCCACCGACACACTCACACTTTTGCGTGCATTATCCGTAATAACGCTGACTCCATCGTCTTTGACCTGCAATTCTCTGAAGGTTATATTGCAAATGGAAAACAAGAAACATGGAATCAAGGGAAAAAAAGCGGATCCTCGGATCCTTGGATCCTCTGGATCCTTTTGGATCCTCCGGATCCTTTTGGATTCCAGTTTGGATCCTTTGAGATCCTAGGATCCAAAAGGATCTCAAAGGATCCGAGGATCCGCTTTCCCCCCTTGCATGGAATACTGTCGATTCCTCGAAAGACATTTTAGCTGAATCGAGCATTATGCATCAGAGTAATGGATATGGTAAGTGACGCCACTGTTAGGTCTTGTGATCATTATATATATCATATCTCTTAGAAAGCAACGCCGTAGAAAGTTAAGTTAACATCCCGGAAAATTGGTCGATCTTCTCAAGAATACCTCCATGGATGTAGATGAAGGGATGACACATTCAAAGATCCACACCGACACCTAAAGTCACCCGAACATTTGCACATGTGCACCTCAGAAATACACCAAAATTAGCAATGTCAATGAAGCATTACAAAAGAACAATCCTATGAGACAATTTTCAAAGTTCACTGTTTCGAAAATACCCAAAAAGAACTTATTCCTACTAGATTATTACATCGTTTAATCAAGTTTGATGCTCTCTTTCACTTAGTGAACACCGCAAGTAGTTAGTTCTTTTCCGATCTTCGAGCGACTTGTGTACAATCGAGTACATTGACTCTTGGAATGTATAATACATACATTAAAATATATCGTATTTAGATAGTTTCAAGGCGCATATTTTGGGTAGAAAAGCAGTCCAAAAAAATGGGCCTACCTGAAAAAAACTAGCCATTGCATCTAAAGTACACAATATAAAATCACATAAGATAATAGACGGTGGTTGTAAACAGTGAAAGCAGGTAGAATTCAGTTTGGCTATATTTTCTACAAACTGAAAGACTTCAGAAAATTAGTATCTTTAAAATAATGGATCAAATGAATTCTATTATTTCAAGAGATATTTGCAAGCATCGATAGTCTGTTATATAGATCGAATCTCGACTTTAAATTGTAGAATTTCTATGTGACATATTAAAAGAAGATATACAGTGATAGTCCTCTCCATCTCGTCAGTCTAAAATAAAATGAATCGGTGTTCAATGAAGGTTACTTGTGTCCAAGCGGTTATCACAATTGATAGTAACAAGTGCGTAGAAAATCTTGTTGATGTTTTTGAATACCGGTATGTCTCATTTATAAGGAATATCGTTTATAGTTATTGTTAAAACTATTTTTTTTTGTTATTGTTACAGTTTAAGGATTCACCAGTTGACAAATTTCGTCACCAGTCAATTCACGCATAAATAAACGAAATTCATCGATAATACCAGAAAAAGCACCAGAATCAATAGGTAATGAACCGACCAAGCAACTCGGTAATGGTGCTCCTGCTGGACGATTGTTGCCAAGTGTAATGTAAAGTTGTTGATAGGTGTAAATATAAAAGTATAAACCATAAACTGTATTTGGATAAAAATTAGTAACTGTTCCATTTAATAATAATCGTACTCCACTAAAGTAACTATAGATTACTGTGACATGAGTCCAAGTATCATTGGGTAATACTGGTCCTTGAACAGCTATGGTTAACGATGTGTTATGCACTATTTGAACAACCAATTCGCCATTAGCCGTTAAACTTAGAAGATCATAACAGAGTGTTCCATTCCCATTTTGCAAAAAGGAAACATGAATGATACTGCCACCTTTAAGAATATTTTGAGGATATATCCAAAGTGAAAAAGTGTAAGTAGCTGATTGACGATTATATGAATAACATTGAGATTGAAAAAAACTATTGTTTGTCGGTGAAAAAAGCAGTGCTTGATTTACACGACCAGAGACGAATGAAGTATCCATTGTTATAACAGAGTATGAATAAATACTTAGATCATAAGTAGTTTGATTAGAATCAAACGGAAAATAGAAAGCAAGTGTTGCATCATTATAAATTTGACAGGTCGATTTGACAATATTTGGTGTTAACAAAAAGTGATCGATGTATCTTTAATAAGAGAAAGACTAATTAATATTTGTTCGAATGTGAGTGTGAATGTGTATAAGTGTGAGTGTGGTTGAAGAGAAGCCGCACACTCACCCACACCTAACGCTAGATGCTCAATTTCATTTTTCGAAAAAGTAAATCGTCTTTTCGCATTGTACGTTCATACAATCATGGCATTAACTACAACTATCAGGTGATAAAAGCAAAAAAAAAGTGTTCTTTTTTTACATTCTGTGGTACTTTTTTCTAATATATGTATTACGGAAAATAAAACAAAGCACCTTTTTTTTAAACATGATTCAACTACTCACCCGTTAAAATATGATAGAGAGTAAGCTGCGGATTTCGTGCGACCTATCCATGCACTCGCACCAGTTACTAAGCCATCATAAGGACTTACAATGCCAGTTGAAATTATTTCAAGACGTCCATTTATATATAACCTTTGTTGTAAAGCATTGGCATCATAAACAACAGCTATGTGCACCCAATAATAATAGGCGACTAGAGACGAACTGATCAATGTGACATTGTTAGCAAGAGAATCAAAACTAACATGAATATGACCTTTACGAACAGTCACAAGAAAACATTTTTGATCTGTACTACATTGTCCAAATATTCCAAAATCTGTTTGATTAATTGATATACCCGTAGGAGGTAATAGAATAAACCACACTTCAAGTGTAAAACTCTGGTGACTAATATTTATGTATGGAATATTAACATATTGTTGATCGTAAGAATTGAGTGCAATAGCTGTACCTGCATAGCCACCATAATGATAGACTGGCATAGAGTTTGTACCTATAGGATTGCCATTAGCTTTTAAGCTTGTGTCATAGGTGTTGCCATCGAATTTATAAAGACGTATATTTTCTGAAGATGTTGAACTTATAGAATCGATACATGTAGTTGATGAACACGTATTTGTCGAACTATTGAATGAGCCTATATAATAAGGAAAAACAATTACTTAGCAAAAACAAACAAAAAGATTGATCTATGATTGAAAATTATTATTGAATTTTTCAACAGAAGTAATAAATTTAAAGAAGTTAGAAACGATGTTGAAGACTCGAGTCAAGAAACTATGATTGAAGATTTCGCTCGAAGGCGTAGGTATGGGATGTCGTTGTTTGATTAGAAAGTTGACAATGCTAGAACTTGTTAGGATTTAGTGTATAGTTTTCGACTTTCATAGTATTTTTTATCGAACAGACGATATTGGTTTTTTTTAGAAAGTTCCACAGCACATAATTTGATGACACATCTTGGACTAAATAATTAATTTCATATGGAAAGAACACAAAATAGAAATACGGACATTTTATTTGAATCCTTCGATAAATATATCAATTGTAATTAAAGTTGAAAATTAAATTGAATACTATTCCTATAATATGTAATTGACAATTAAGTTTTTAATTAAGTTATACTGAAATGATAGACTTGAACAGGAAAAAAAACAAACGTTCTATACAATCTTAAAACTGCAAGAAAGAGCTTGTATATTCAGTGAATACTAATTATACTAGAAAGTTAACGAAAATTCTATACACGCCAATGTTTTTTTGAGGGATTCGTTGAATTAGACGAAAAGCTAGTCAACCATCAGAAATGTATACTTCAATGATAAAAAATAAATATTTTTTATTCGCTCATACAAATATCTAATTGAAAAAAACGTATAATGTTTTGCAAGAACATAATTAATACACCATATAAGTCTATGATAGACATCTTAACTAAATGCTATAATTCTGATGAAAAGTACTACTTTAAAAAATCAAGAGGTAACATATACCTATAATAATACTATCCATGTATCTTTTAAAAAAGAACTATATTGGAACTTACTTGATTTAGACGTACGAAAAACGACCAGTGTGAGTACAAGTGGCAATATGATGGCAGCACAAGCCAAAATTCCAAGTATGGCAGCAAAAATAAGTGTTTTTTTATGTGAGAATGGCCTAAAAAAGCGTCAAGAATAAAACTATGTTTTAATAGAATTACCATTTTTTTCCGATATGGGGTAGTTTAGAATAATTTGCTAAATGAGTGTGTTTGGATGATGGTATACTCGAAGTATTCATTGATAAGGGTTCAAGAAGAGGTTTCTTGGATGGTAAGGATACTTTTGATCGTGGTGAGTTTGGAGAAACTGAGATTTGTTCGATACCTATCGGAATTGATTTTAACGCCATCGATTGGATTTGCTCTTCTTGTTGACTCCAAATTGATTCAGGTGCAATCTAAATAAAATGCTATCCATTACTTATACAACATCAGTTAATCGATGTTTTACTCTGGATACTCCATATTTCGGATTTCTTGATAATTTAGACACGGTCACTGCCAATCGCTGAGGCTGATGCATTTGCTGACTGTCCTTCATTGTACTGAATGAAAATTGATTGAGTTTTATGCTTAAAAAAACGGCAAATGTAATTAAATTATGAGATGCTGTTGTCAAAGCCATATACTTATATGCTTCTTTCAAAATTTCAATTACATAGTATGCCTTATCTATAAGTCTTCTTTTACACTCAATCTATTGATAATAACACTCATTAATATTCAAATTGAATACAAGATGAAAATACATGAAGCTTTGAAAAAAATAATTTGTAAAATAGAGTAAATAACAGTGCCTTGATTAATACATGTTTTTCGTTTCTACGTAGTTGTTGACATTGGGCGGTCAATTTTATTGAAGTATTTCTTGCTGAATTGTTTCACATTACAGCAAACGAGTTGTCATCATTTTTGGAGTAAGGACCAATTTGTTTTGGATGTAGGTGTGATTGAATGTGAAAGGATTGGATAGAAAAGAAGTTCATCACATCCACAGCCAGACACCAACAATACGCATTGTTAACCAGGATTGTTTAGAACAAATAAGACAGCCTGTTTTGTTCGAAGATTTGTTCCATTTGGTTAGACGACACTCAAGACTAATAATGTAAGTTGAGCCATTTTACACGATCCTGTAGAATTTATATACAACCATAAATGTCTCGAGAAAAGCATATTATTGAGTATTACCGTTACATAATTTCAAAAATGCTCTTTCTTGGCTTGTTCATTGTTAGCAATTCCAGTTACGCGATATCCTAGTCTTACTAATTCGGAAGTATCGACATCAGGACCACAATTAATATAGAGAATGTCGGAATATTTGGGAATCGAATTAAAAGTGTAAAGAGCTCGAAGGCTCGATCGAGTAGGTTCAAGACATTGTATCAGTAAATCATTGTGACTTTCAAAAGAGATCTTACGGAGATAATCATTTGAGGGTATAGACGTATTGTGTCATATATGATAACTAAAAGTAAGAGCAAAATGAAAATAAACCCTGAGAAAAAGAAGTTTGGATAGACAAAAAAAAAGTATGCATAGGATAATAATCATTTCAGAGCTGATAATATTGCAACAAAATTTGTGAAAGCATCTTTATTTGAGTGTACTCTATACGCTTCTTCTAACTCAAGTTCATCAACGAGAAACTAACCGAAAATAAAAACAAGAAGATAGCGAAACGGAGTCGAAGAAAATATAGAATAGGTGTGAGGTTTCATCATCTTGCATGCATATGTTTTGTCAAAATTGTTAAAAATCAACAAAAAAACAAGAATCAATTAGTTGGATGATCTTATGAACCAAATATATGATTATAGTAAATATTTTCATTTTAATAAAACTGAACAAGTATTATACAAAGACTCAGAAAACTTGAGAGTTGTATTGTGTTGATATTTTAGATTTTTATCTCAATGTTCATATGACATTACACTCTGCCTTTGATAAAACTGACCCTTAAAGTGCAGTGATCTAATTTGGCATAAGAATCAAGCTGATACGTAATATAAAAATTATTTGTGTATAAGCAAAATTAACTGTGTTTCAGGTTACATCGTATGCCCACGCGTGTGAAAGTCTGCATTTACATGATTTACTAATTTTTATCGTGTTTTAGAGGTATTTATGCATTACTGCTACAGTAATAAAGTCACTCGGTTGATTTATTACAAGAACATTTCAAGTCAATATAGAAAGATTAATAAGAGGTAACATGAAATCACAATCGGCTTTTGGAACTTATGTTTTAATTTATTAGATCTATTCAAATGTCGAGACTTGCCTTTCAACAGTAGATTACATCATCGCTAAGTCGTTAACCGCAGTTTTTATATTAGACAGTTTAATCAATGCTGACATTTTCATAAAATTCTACAAGATATTTAAAAAGTTTCAAGAAGTTCCTGATTCTTAATTTTTCTTAATTATATCAACATTTTTAAACTTAAATGCACGAGCTTAAAATGAAAACTTGATTATAGTGATATATTTTGTTTCTAATATCATCAATGAATTGATAATTATTTATTATTTAATTTATATTGACAAATAGTGTAAATTCGACACGAGATATCTACATAATTGTATATATGATAGAAATTCAATATAACAATGATTACTCCGTTGTTAGAAATAAAAAAAAAAATAGAAAGTGATTTTCAACTGTAACTTTCATTTATCAAAAATTAAAAAGAAAATTTTAAAAATAAATAGTGAACTCGTTTTCGTCGTAACCCAATAACACTTACAGATCTATTCACTTTGACCGATATTATTGATTATGCACCATTTGTCGTGATGCATTCTAAGTACTTAAATATGTATGCATTTTAACTGATTGTAATGACTAAGTATATTCATAAAAAACAGACTATCAATCAACGATTGAACGATGCTATCGCCTCTGAACATGATAAGAATAAATGTAATAAACATTTTAATATTCATTCTGTATTAGCAAATCAAATTTACTTGATGTTCATCCGCTGAAAAAATTATAATAAAAGAATTACAATAACCCATGCTACCACATACTACTCATCAATGATATTAATATTTATATAATAAATCAAGCCTTTTCGTTCTTTTCCTAATAATTGAAATTGCCAACAAACAAAAAAACAAAATATATTAAAAATAAGAACCACTCACTATAACAAACAGCTTAACAGTAAGAGATAAATAGTCAGAAAAGAGAGAAAGAACAAGGACAAGACAATTAAGCATAAGCAAAAGAAAGAAAAAAACCATAAAGAAATCGTAAAGGGAATGTGTTTGTAAACAAAAAAAAAAGAGAAGCACTCAAAATTAGTTTATCACAACTCGGTAGGATCATGTGTATTGATTGATTTAGTTGGATCACCATCATCAACATTCATTGTATTCGTTGCTGACGTTGTTAATAATAAATTTGGTTTTCCTTCTTCTTCCCATTGAGCCATTAATGTTTTTATTTCTTGATCATAATCAGCCCATTCAGCAATGATACGTGTAGCTGCTTTTAATTTTGGTTCTTTTGTTTGTGGATTATTACAAAGATCAATTGTTTTGGCACGTTTTTTTGATTCATCATCACACCATGTTTCACACCAAAGCCATTCTTCAGGTAATGAATAAATATTAACTTGATGTATCATATTATTTGGTAAATCTTGATCAAGATTTGATAAAGAATTTGGATCTTGACTTAAACCATAATATTGACCACGAAGACGATCACCAGCAGCTATTTTACGGAATTTTCTCAAATCAATAACATAAAGTGCCGATATATGGTAACGTCGATGACCTAAATGACTAGACCAATAACCACTCTTCCAAAATCGATAACCTTCCATTTCTCGACGATTATCACAAAATGGAACATAACCATATGGAGCTCCTAAAGATTAAATAAACAATAATCTTTAGATAATTTCTAAATACTTTTTT